ATACATGTAATAGGTAGCAAGTATGATGACAGTAGTAAAATGACAATAAAATTTCGGATTATAGATTTCTACAAGCTTTATGCTTAAGGTTTGTATGTGGACCCCTAGTGAGTCTCTTGTCCAAAGTAAGGCCAATGTGCTTCACAGCATTGGCTGTAGACAGAATTAATTATTATGCAGACTGGTGGGTAATTGAGGTTACGCAGAGACCAGAGTATAAGTTGCCTGTGTAACTGCTTAGAAAATATATTAAGAGTCCAAATAAATAAAGAACAATTTCAGTTGTAGTACGTAGAGTGTGCTTTACTCGATCCATGATTTATTTATAGTTATTGTTTTTAAAACCGCAGTGTTGATGGATATATGTCTTTAGGAAAATGTTTAAGTTTAAGACCCAGCTCAGTACGTGGATTGATTTGTATACAATGTATAAAGAAACGTTTATTTCTACATGAGGTCACATTTTAGTTTAGTCCAAAGTGAGACCAATGTTAACTTAACTGCACTGGCTGTAGAAAGGATTGCATTATTAAGCATGACTGGGTAATCGAGGTTACGCAGAGACCATAGTATAAGTTGCTCAAGTTGCTTATAGACTTTGGTTCATTAATTTTTATTTTCTATTGGCTTGACCACAAGGTAATCATATTTAAAATGGGTTGGACGTTGGTATCGAGAAAGTGTCTTAAAAATGTTTTTTGTATATTGTGTGTAAATATTGAATAGACAAAAAGGGTGACATCGCTTTGCTGTGCTCTGTTTCGATATAAAGTAGATTAACTGGAAATCCGTCTAACGGAAAATGATACATTAGTTAGGTAAAACTTTTTTCGTTTGAACACAAGACCAACATGTAAAAACGTCTTACAAGACGTGCGCATTTTACTTAATTAAAAGTAACAACTATAATTTATTTAAAGTTAAAAAATTCTTTACACAGTTAAAAAAAACACAGTGTTGATGATGTACACTGGAAAATGTTCAAGTTAAAACTTTTGAAATAAATAAAAATTGAAATAACTCTAATATTGTTGCAATGTTTTAATGTTGCATCGATAATAACAAACATATTATTAAATCAATTATCTTTGTAAAATATTACAATTTCATGGATGAACAAATTACAACTCTATTGGCACGGCTCCTACACCACTAGATTTTTGGCTGCCATTACAATTATTCATAAATCCTTTCTATTAACTTGGAGTATCTATGTATAATACATATCTCTATGTTTAATCATTGGCACATAACATTCTGTAAGAAATATTGCATTTGCAGTTGAACATCCGTAAGTAAAGCAGTTGAGAATGAACTTCCAGGAAATATAATATTAAGAATGGAAAATACATTTTTGATGACCGTCGAGGATGCCTCTCCCAATGCTGCTGAAGTCGTTAAAGATGGAATAAAAAACTGCGATAGTAACATGTCTGTAAATATAAATGACGGAGTTCCTAAGTTCAGTGGCCGTCAAAATATCATGACCTACGACTGTGGGGATGTCCACAAAGACAAGATGCTATATCATGTAAGTTGTTTAAATCTGTAAGTATAATTAATTATTTTAATTTAGCTGATACCACAGCCAGGTGATAATGCTATGCAAACACAAGAAATGTATTGGACGCAAAAGTACAAATGTTTAGAAGAAAAGTACAATAAACTTCAACAAGATTTTAATAACTATCGAATCCATAGAAAAAGTCCTTGCAAGTTTGCTATAGTATACCTAATATAAATTATATTAACTTGATGTTTTTATCGATGTGCAAATTATGAGCTTTTGAATCCTTTTTTTTTTTTTACATAAATTATGAACAAACTAATCTTAAGTTTTGTTAGGCGTTCAGGACAGTTATCAACAATGCAATTTGTATGGAACGGAAAAATGTTCTAAATACGTCCAAACCGAGCCTGTGCTTTTTAATAACCATAGAAAATTTGTTCCTGAAAAACTGTTTCCATTTAACAACGAATATTTAGTAGATGGTCCCAATAGAAGGGTTAATAACTTGACTTATGATCTAGTACATGGTGAAGATAAGCCGGATTTAGATAATCATCGGTGGAAACACGAAGGAAGCTTAGATAGAGACTTTTACGAGCTGAAGAAATCAAGACTAGAAGCTCTTATGAAACGCGTTGATTACGATACAAGTCGTGAATATTTTCTGTCGTCTTTGTCGCCAGCAAATGGAATAATTATTAATTTAGTACTTGGAAAATTAAAAGTAAACGAGCTGTTTAAAAACAATGATTTGTTGGATCAAATTAAACTCGACGTCAAAAATGTAGTAAATAAAAGACTGGAAGATTATTTTTCAGGCAAAGATAATGTTTTGACTCGGGAAAAGAACTTTGTCAACACTTCGGTAACAAAATTGTTTTATATTTAAATATAAAAATTAATGTAATTTGTATTTTTTTTTTTTTTTTTGCATAGAGCTTAAATGAAAAATATGATTCCACTAATGAAACAACAGCTGCCAATAATGAGGTTGCAGAAAAAAAACACCTCGAAAACAATGTTACTGTTATTTCAAAACTAAAAAAAACTTTGCGGTTTAAAAAACCTTTGTCGTCTGGTAAATGATTTAAACAATATAAACTTACTTTTCCTCTAATTATTACTTTTTAGACATTTAATTATACATATTTCATAGAAATTAAAACATGTGTTGATTATTTTCATAAAAAAAAATATATATAATTATGATACGTAGGTACATAGAAAGATATAAACTGTATTCTTAACACTATTTAATTGTGATTTGATATTCAATTGTCATTTGTTTTGAGACATATGGATGTTTATTTTTTTTTTTTATTAAATTCTACTTTTGTTGTTATTTTTTTAAGGTAGTTCTATACACACTGACATATTTTTAATTGAGTCTAGCCGGCTTCGATGATTTTCAAACAAAATAATTTTAATAATACAGACAGGTTTAATTTGTGTTTAACTTTATCGAAAAATCAAAGTCCTCTAACTTCGAAAAAGTCTACAAGTTCATGCCACCCTATTAAATTGTTAAATCGTCCATTACAATATTTAAATCAGAGTACCTACAGTTTTTAAGTAAAAACATTAATATTTTTAGAACCTGTATTACTTAACGATATTACATATTATACACTATATCAATAATTGTAAAAAATGTTTGTGCGTTGGTTCGGCTTAAGATTTAAGTATAGATTAACAAATAATAGTAATAGTATCGTAATAAGTTAGATTAGGTCATCATTAACTACATCATTGCAAAATAAATTCTTTTTTGCACTATCCCAAGTCAATTTTTACTATCAATATTTTAGTCAATTTATTTTTTACTAGGCTGTATCAAAAAAACTAACATACAGGAAATATATTTCTCCAACAAGTCTCCAAGCGCTGACTGTCACTTGTTGGACACTCCGTCACATCGGGCACCCTCTCTAAGCAGGAAATTGAGAAAATCAAAGAGTAAAACTTAAAAGAGTAGGTAAAACAAACTCTCATAGGCGACCGAACTGGTCAAGCGTTTAAGGAATAGCAAATCTTTTCAAATTATTATTTTGCATCTATATAAATATCTATCTATGTAAATAAACTGGAAATATTTTATTCTGGGATTTCTTGTATGATGTGTAAGATGCATCAGTTCTTACCACGTTTGCTCAAATTCTATGAACCAAGTGTTTTCCTAGGTATTTGATCAAAACGAACACATTTTTCAGAAGCTAACGCAGAAGTCCCGGCGAGAACTTTGAAAAAAACGAACTTTATACAAGAAATAAACAACTTTATAGTAGGTATCTTACAAACGACATTAGGTTCCAATTTACAGTACCAAATACAACCGGTGAATGGAAACATCTTGACATCACTTTGTTATCTAATCCTTAGTGCACTGTTCAAAGAGACAAATATTACATTAGTACCTTTTTTTATTAAAAAAAATTGTTCTTTTATATCTGTAAAAAAATAAAGTGTATTTTTATTTTTATAACTAATTCTCTCCTATATACCAAATAATTGAGTACTTAATAGATGTACTCAATGTATTTTTTCATCAATTTTTTTTTTTTCGGTTTGTTGTAAATATCAAATCAATTTTAATAATTGGTGATGGA